AGATTGTGGGGTAGGTGGTTGGTGAGTGGCTGGTTAGATTGTGGGTTAGGTGGTTGGTTTAGATTGTGGGATAGGTGGTTGGTTAGATTGTGGGTTAGGTGGTTGGCGAGTGGCTGGTAAGATTGTGTGGTAGGTGATTGGTGGATGTACTAGCGTGAGTTCAGGGAGCATCCGAACCAGCGCACAAAGATCGAGCACAGACACACGTGGGAGGGTGTCGCACAACAAGCGGGGGGCAGGCCTAAACGGTTACGTGGTCGTGGTTTAGTACTGGGCACGAACCGACGAGAAGCATTCATATATGGCACACAAACGCAAAACATTGGCTAGGGTGATGCCTATTATTAAATAAGTAGAACCCCTCCAACATACACTTCTCACAGCAGTGGGGGATGAGACAACATACTATAACAGCCAATCAATAACAACCAATCCATGTCTATCAAACAGAACGAACCACTACCAAACTAACATCTCGGATACGCATCTTGAGTAACACAACATGTCAATTGTGTGGGTATGGCTATTGCTAGAATGTGAAAGCGCTGACCTGTGTGCAATTAAAAAAGCGTGTACACGCCCTGCATGTGTGAGTACAACTTCTACATGGCATACACGAACTCTAACAGTACATATACAGTCTTTGTGTGGATATACCACTACATAAACATGCTCATATATACACACATACACATACACATGCTCGTGCCCGAGCACATACACAGACCCTCTCCTTCCTGTTCTTCACATACCTCAATGTCATATGTATCGGCAATGACAACAATGATCTTCGATGCGACCTCGCGGTAGACGGCCTTGTGATGTCTGTGTGAGTGAAGCAATATGTGAATGAAAGCAATTACGCGTGTATGTAGCTATATGTCTTGTGATGTCTGTGTGAGCAAGGCAACATGCCAATGAAAGCAAATACACGTGTATGTAGGTATATGCCTTGTGATGTGTGAGTGAGTGAAGCAATATGTGAATGAAAGCAATTACGCGTGTATGTAGGTATATGCCTCGTAATGTGTGTGTGAGCGAAGCAACATGTCATGAAAGCAAGTACGCGTGTATGTAGGTATATGCCTTGTGATGTGTGAGTGAGTGAAGCAATATGTCAATGAATGCAGTTGTGTGTGTAAGTAGATATATGATCGGACAACTTTGAGGGCGAAACAGCACGCGTAGTTGTAGTAAAACCATTAGGGCTACCACATCTTTGCCAGTTGGTGCTATACTAGACCTTGTCTTATGATAACGCATATGTGAGCTACCTTTTCCCCTAGCTATACACGCTTAGCGTACACAACAACCTGTACGTTTTCGCAACCTAGTGCTTTATACTTGCCAGAGACCGGAATGAGGTAAGTACGTATCCCTGTAAGCGCGTGCTCAGCATGAAACATAATGTATGGTCGGGCATATGCACAAGCCTATGCCACCTAACCCCAGCTCATACGCAATCACTAGCTGAGAGTACACATATCTAGATAGACCACATCTCTGTGCACAAGCCTATGCACAACCTAAGCCCAGCCCATAGGCAATCACTAGTTGAGAGTGCATGTATCTAGATAGACTACATGACATACCCAAGCATCTCGATCAGCTCATTCATAACCACGGACTGGCCCTTCCTGGTTTCCAGGCACATGATGATTTGCTCGAACGATTCTGCGGGCACAGGGAGATCACGATTCAATCACATGCGCAACCGTACGTTATACATAGTCGTGTGCAAAGCCCAACCGCGGCATGCTCAGTCGACCGTTTATGACACCACTACGGCCAACGTAACCAAAACACTGCGAGATGTATATAGTCCATAACAAGTGGTGATATGCGTATATCTACTACGGAACACTGCGAACTGTATATAGTCGATAACAAGTGGTGCTACGCGTACATCTACTACGGAACACTGCGAACTGTATATAGTCCATAACAACTCGTGCTGTGCGTATATCTACTACGGAATACTGCGAGGTGTATATAGTCCATAACAACTGGTGCTATGCGAATATCTACTACGGAATACTGCGAGGTGTATATAGCCCACAACAACTGGTGTTATGCGTATATCTACTACGGAACACTGCGAGGTGTATATGGTCCTCAACAAGTGGTGCTATGCGTATTGAGCATGAGCATGAGCGTACCTTGAATCGAGTCTGAGCTGTCATCCCGAACGCAGATGGCTTGCAATAGTGCAGGGACTATCTTGGACAAGTGCACGTCCAGGGTGGAGCCAGACACCACGGCCAAAGCCCCCAGGGCGTGTGCATTGGCTCTGTATGCCACGTGGGGTGTGTGTGGTAACGAGATAAGGCGTGGCCTGAATGTGTGGTTCTTAAAGGTGACGGGGCGAGGGATATATACGACTTGTTCAAAAATAATACGAGCACGCTGGTGCGTTGAGGGGTCGGTTGTGTCCGCGAGCGAATGCGATGTTCATTTGGTTTGCATGTGGTGGGTGTGCAAGAGCAAAGTATGTGTGCGTATATATGGCGTATGTATGTGTGTGGGCATAAACAGAGCACATTGGGTGTGTATACAGAACGTGTGTTCGTGTACATAGAGCACACATGTGATTCTATTTAGAGCGTACGTTGTGTGTATGTAGAGAGCACGTGTGCATGTGTATATAGAGTTCATGTGTGTATATATATAGAGAGAAAGAGAGGGCTGTGCTAGTGTGTGCAACCCTAAAACACGGCTGGTGTGGTTGTCAAATGCGTTTACGATGTCCACATAGAAAGTAAACTGTTTAGTTTGAGGTCAAATGGCCACACACACAACACAGCCAGTAGGAATGCAACCGCGTGCAAGTGACGGGTGGTCGATATGCGTGAGCAGGCATGGAAAAAATAAAGTGAGTTTGTATGACATTCTATGTGAACATTTGTATGTAACGAATACGCTTATATGCATACGTGATGGCTTACGTGTGTATGTATGTATGTTATAGGTATATGTGTGCGTCCGTACGCCCGTACATACGAGTGTCTACATGCGCCAATATTACCGCCATAGTATACGACAAACCCGCATGTTCACCCGCATACATACATACCTACAGACCCACCCCCAACCGTACACCAATCGTCCATATCACACACACGCCTACCCCGTAACCGGCTGGGCAATGAGCTTCGGCACAAGGAATGGCAGCACTACTTGCGACTGCGTCTTCATGACCTGCCGCAAACCCAGCAGAGCGCACTCGTTGATCTCTTCATCCTCGCTGTCCAGCGCTGCCAACATAGACGGCAGCACCTCATCAACGGCCCTACCGAGACGGGGGAGGTGATCGAGGGTAACGTGATTACGTACTACGCACGACTGATTGGGATGTGTGGTGATTGCAGAGGCGACTTAGTAGTGCTTACAGCAACAACTGGCGACGGGCTTATGGGAAACCAGTAGTGTGTATAGGAAAACATCATCCCATTCGCAGGTATGTGCATATTCAATAGATGTGATATACTTATTGTCAACGACGAAGAATATGATACCGAACTTCAAGCACGCATATGAACTCATGTAAGCCCTTGCTTGTTGCCAACGATGGTGAAAAGGAGTGTCGAACCTCAGAACCTATACAGACGCATGTGAACTCACACCTGACCACAGACTGTACGTACGAGGCCAACCGCCAGGTATACACCTACAACCAACCACAGGGCACTTACTTGTTGCCAATGACCGTGAACAGCGTGTCGAAGGTCTTGGCCGCAGCCTCGCGCACCTCACTGTCACGGTCCATCAGTGACTGGCGCACCACGGGAATAATCGACGACACAAACATGATCACCGAGTCCTTGGACGCGGCATTCATCACCTCGCTCAGACCCACACACACACCACAGCGCGTGCTCGAGTCTTCCGCATCCAGGCCTGCCAGACCGGAAAAGCGAATAGGTTAAGTGATCAAGGTTTCAGGATGTCTGCGAGACACACCACGTCACTTGTCCTGACCGTGGTTATACTGCGTCTAGTCGCCAGGTATGTGTGCTTCAGCGATTGGCGTGCTAGGCCAGGTTGTCTTTGAGATGGAGGTAGTAGAGGGTCAGGGCAATGCTTGCATGTATATGGGATGGTACCAGGTTGTCTTTGAGATGGAGGTAGTAGAGGGTCAGGGCAATGCTTGCATGTATATGGGATGGTGCCAGGTTGTCTTCGAGATGGAGGCAGTAGAGGGTCAGGGCAATGCTTGCATGTATATGGGATGGTACCAGGTTGTCGTTGAGATGGAGGTAGTAGAGGGTCAGGGCAATGCTTGCATGTATATAGGATGGCGCCATGTTGTCTTCGAGATGGAGGTAGTAGAGGGTCAGGGCAATGCTTGTATGTATATGGGACGGGTGCCGTATTGAGTCGCACTTGCAACGATGTACACGTATACACAGGCATATGACGTGTTCTACTACTCCCACTACAACTACAGCCCCGTACATAGATATAGCCAGACAGGCCAGACGGGCAAGCTCAACCCTCGCCACCGGTTAATTGCAATACGAGACATGACCAACGGATGACCACACACGGGTGTCTCCAACCACACCCATACAATCTGAGCACAATCATACACACGCGACTCATAGATGGTGTCTATAGAGCTCACCACTACCTGATTTTCACATAGCGATTGTGCGCTTTCCCCCCCCCCTTCCCCCACGCACGAATGCACACATGAAGGATGCATGTACGCTATCGAGTAACCGCTCATAAACCAAGCACCCTGCTCAACCGTTCATAAACCACGCACCTTGCTCAACCGTTTATAAACCGCGCACCTTGCTCAACCGTTTATAAACCGCGCACCTTGCTCAACCGTTTATAAACCATGCACCCTGATCTGAAGCACAGGACCGTACGCGCTCTTGAACCAAAACAGCCCATACGAGCCCACCAACTACCACCACGCCCATATGCACAGCCTTATATCTCCTACCTTCAGCCAAAATGGGTACAATCTCCGGCAGCACAAAGTCCCCGAGTTTCAGCACCACATCACCCAATGTCTGCGCCGCAATACGACGGCGGTCGTGGTTGGGCGACGACAGAGACTTCAGCAGCAGCTGCATGAGCACAGGCATGATGTCACGCAGTGTGCGGGCTGTGTTGAACACCACCACCTTCCAGATGTGCAGCGACGCCTGTAGGTGGTACGCGGTTAAGCACAATGGAGTGGGAGTGTAAGTGTAAGTGTACGTGTACGTTTGAGTGTGATTGGGAGTGGTTTTAGCATGCGGCATGGAAGTCACGTCAACGTGGCAACTGAGCATTTGCTTGTGCGGGTGTCGTTACTAGTCTTGACACAGGCACACGTCGGCCATGCATGTGCTCACGGGACACACACTAAGGCTTGGCGTACCATATTCAACATCCCTTTATACGTACTACAAAGGTACTTTGTACTTTACAAAGGTGCTCTACAAAGGTACTTTACAAGGGTACTTTACATACTTTACAAAGGTATTTTACAAAGGTGATCTACAAAAGTATTTCACAAAGGTACTTTACAAAGGTATTTTACAAAGGTACTCTACTAAGGTATTTTACTTTACAAAGGTACGTTACAAAGGTATTTTACAGAGGTGCTCTACAAAGGTGTTCTACAAAGGTACTTTATAAAGGTATTTTAAAAAGGTGCTATACAAAGCAGGCGCACAGCATACTCAGGGCCGCAACCTGGACAAGATATGCGCACTCTACACAAAAAGTAACACCCCTAAACAAGTAACAACACTGAATAAGTACCAGCCCACCACCACGACACTAGTCCACACGCAAACACCCACCTGGCGAACCAATGGCGACCCTAAACAAGTAACAACACTGAATAAGTAAAAGCCCACAACCACGACACTGGTCCACATACAAACACCTACCTGGCGAACCAATGGCGCCACATCGGACCGTCCCATGTACAGACCAGCAAACACCTGTGCCAAACGCTCCTCTCCCAAGACCTCCACCAGCGCATCCCTGGCCTCGGTTGTACCGAAATTGTCATCGTCCCCACCCGATTCGGTGGTTTTGGCACCGGATTGACCGGAAATGCGGTAAAGCAGATCACCCAAAAGATGCACGGACGACTGTCGAATACGCCAGTTGTCGTCGAAGAGACCTGATTTGATTTTGGGATGTGTTGTTTTGTGATCGCCGAAATTTGTATACGGCACTAGGAGCGAGACAGGAATGCGATCTTAATATGGCAACAAAAGGCACGGAGAGCGGCCCATAGGGTATGGGTGGTGTTTGGGTTGATGGTGATGGTGCTACTCAGACCAAACATAGATGCGAACGCACGGAACAAAATAGGGGCACGATGAAGTTAAGCTTACGCATGTATCTCATGGTTACGTTTGTCAACCCCCCCCCCAGGTGAAACGCATGACCTTAGCAAAACTATATATACATAAAGGCAGTAGAAGGGGCCTAAAATTGTCGTTGAGATCATGACCCATGTACGCTGAAAGTGATGGTGGAGTATTCCATTGGATGATGAATCCGTATACATAGACATACCCTTCTCGAGTTCGGGCAGAAGAATCTCCACGGCACTCTCGGCGTAGTTGTTGACAATCATCTGACCGGCCTTCAGTGCTGCATGGCGCACGTTCTCTGCCTCATCGGCCAATCCCTTCAGAATGGGTGGGATGACAACGGGCACGAACGGCTGTGTACATGACACGCACAAGCGTAGCACAAGGAAAGGGGCACAGGTAAGTTGGTGGGGGGGGTTTATAAAGCGTTAGATAACTACCGGCACACAATATATAAAGCGGTGGATGACTACCGGCACGCAGGGTGTGAGCACAGATGTATTAATAAGGACCAATCGAGCGATACACACGCTGATGGACTACCCCCAGGCATAACTAGAGTGTGACCGGGGCAATGGAGGGCGAAGACATCGCGGGTAGGAGAAGCCACGGGAGAAGCGACTGGGTACGCTACAGGGAGGCCCGAACAATGCGTACCATTGCACGAGCCCTGTATATACATAGCACTACACAGACCACACATACTGCCAACAAGGTGACCATAACAAGATGACCATAACAAGGTGAGCATACCAATAGATCGTCTCCAAACGAGGACGGGGTGAAGAAGAGCACCATCATGAAACCCTCACGTGTGTACGCTTCCTTCGCCGAGCAGTTGGCGATGATATCCGGCAGCAACCGCTCCAGTCGTTCCGACCCGAGGCCGTAGAGCACCTGCAGCACACCACACAGAGGTTAGTGGATGTGAAATAATACTACTGAAAGTTGGGTGCAGAGAAGCCTAAAACCGCCCGCCCGTAGTGTGTGCCGTTTACGCATCATGTGTTTTGGCAGTTGTCTCCCTTACGGGTACAAATGTCCTCCAACTCCCATACATAGACAAGGATGGTGGATGGGATGTGACATACATGTACATTATATTAGGCTGTAGAGCACCCACAGACCATCACACAGCAATAAACAGAGAGGAACATGCGACATAGTGCCTTAAATACAACAGTAAGAATAGGTCGGATTCGGCATATCAGTCAAAAAAAAATGTGGTTGTAAGAGACATAAGAGCGCACAACGACGACGGTAGGCGATGTGCTGGATGTGATTGGCATAGAAGGGTTGTGAGCCACAATCAGGAACATACTGTGTTCGTGCAGTGCTCCAATGAGTGTAGGTACCGCCGCGCGGACTGTATTGCTCACGCTATATACATTCACGCAATTCTTCAGCAAACAGCCAACATCAACTACGTACTGACCCACCGTAACAGCCAGGCACAATAACAATACGCACTGTCTTGTCCAATCGATAAGTGAGACTAAGCCTACCTCACTGAGACCTTGTGCGGCACCGCTTCGATCCACGGCGCTGTTGCCAGGTGACTTGAGCGTCTCTACCAGCCAGGGAATAAGTTCAGAGAAACTCTCCTCGCCCATACCTTGTACCATGGTACCCAGTGCCTTGGCAGACACCTCTCGGACCGCAGGACTCGAGTCCACCAGCACCTGTGTAGAGATGCACAACCACAGACGTTCTACTTGAGTTATGTGTGTTTGTACTGTGTATATTCAGGGTGCGTTGGTAATAGGTTCGTGTTCCGGGCTGAATTGCCCAGGTTTTGCCGTATAATGCGCGCGAATGTATTACAGGTGTACCGTCGTATCCGCAGTACGCACACATAAGCCAAGCCTGAAGCGAGGAGAACAGACACGTTGGCACGTTAGCACCGCTTAAGCTGCACGCCCAGGCCAAATACTTCCCACCGACTTAGTCGTGTACATGCGTGCGTGTGAGTGTAACTATGTATGTCTGCGAGGCCTGTCAGTGAGTGCGTGCTACTGATTGTTTTAAGAGTGTACAAAATGTACTTTAAGGGCATCATATGTACTTATACAGGCAAGCAAGCACGATCACATCAATCGATAGACTACATGCTAGCCCGGGAAACCGATACACCAACGATCATCCAATCTCACACTCAACTCATACACAGCACATAGAACGCGCACCTCTCGTAGCCCTGGGAGTACTATATTGAGGTAAGGCTGGAGATCCTTGTGGTTGGTCAGCGACGACATATTCCCGATAATCTGCGCGGCCCACATTTTAGTCTCTGTACTTCTCTGTTTGAGTGCACGGTGCAACACAGGCATGATCAATGCCAGCGACGGGGCGTCTGTGGAGATGGGCCAATGGGAAGAGATATCAGAAACGGATACGGATGGGGAGATGGAAAGATAGATTAAATACGAATGCAGATAATCAAATGTGGGTGAGATAGACCCAATAAGAACGGACTTCAGAAGCAAGTATACGTATAGAGGAATGCGCAGCGACGGCTATAGGGCGTCTGTGAAGACCAGTAGATTCATGGATATGAGCATATGAGTGTGAATCAGATGTGCGTCATAGTCACTCTACAATGCACATGCGACTGAGTGCAGCAGAAGACTCCCTTGAAGTGAATATATGGGGTGTATGTCTAATAGTCACCCGTGGAGAGGTGCTGATAAGTGCATACACCCCACCAAAGCGTCTCAATAAAGTCACCAAAAAAAAAATTATCAAGCACAGAACCACACATCCATATACGTCTGCCAGCATATCGATTAACATTGAAGCTGTATTGAACCTTTGGCTTACATGGAGACAGTTCTTGGTGCAGGGTGCAGTGACTTCTATCAATTTTCGGTTAACCTCAAGTAAGAATACTTTTACAAAGCAGCTTAACGCCCCAATGAACAACGACACGGCACGATCGATCCGTTAAACGCGGTCCATCCAACTGCGGATTGGCAGTGGAAAGGCCGAACATATGGGAATCGCCAAGCCAACGCATTGGAACACCCTTTGACGCTGATTAGCCATACCGATGAAATGAACGAAATTGGTATCCAGCAAAGTGGTGAGACACTTCTGCGTCTTGCCATCGGGGTCCACCAGCGCCGCCAAAAGTACATCCACAATCTCTTGAATCTCTGGATTTTTGATCACACCACCGATTTTCTTCAGAGCCAATCTGCCGGCTTCCTGCTCAGGAAAAGATCGCTAAGCAGTCAGTAACTGAATTTTATGTGTGAGAAAACTATTTTAATTGTGTCTACGTATTTGGCTCATTCCATTTCCTGTCTAATTGTATGCGGAGTGAGACCCTTTTTACATATATCTAGAATGGGTGGCAAACTAGACTAGGCCGTAGACTACGCTACCCTTGCGCACACAAAAGCTGTCATACCAAAACCCGCTGTAGTTCGTCTCCATACAACACGGCATATACAAGGTCTATAAAACAGGCACCGCTTCAACCCCTGGACACCACATAGAAATGCCCTACTACGGGTGGTCTTATCCAATCCCTGCTAAATTAAACGCCCAACGAACACACCTGCACTTTGGGGTGCGAATCTGTCAGCACCTCCGCCAGTCGGGGCACAATCTGTGGCAGTGAAGACGACAGCTGATCTGGTGCACACGCTGACATGGCTCCTAACATCTCAGTTGCGCCTTGTTTAGTTCGCCATTGCTGCATCGATGGTATGATATGACGTTTTACATCAGTCAGGGATTACGGTGCAAAACAGTACCATGGCAATGGTGGGAGTTGGTTGAGTGTGCGTGTGCAAAGGGACCCGAATAGTCCAATATCTGGTCCCGGAGAGTAGCTGTCGACATAATTGGTCGTGGGGAATGGATTGGATTGTTGTATCACCGCGAACAGCACATAGCACATCTCATCTCAGACTGCTCGACGCAGGTGAGTCTGTACGTGTCGCGTGCATACACATCGAATGTGTTCGTGAGAGTGTTGGTCGTTTGATGCGTGGGTGTATTCGTATACATAAAAGTACCGTTACATGGTGCTGTCCACCCTAACAACCGCCCTATGAGACCAGTAGGGTACTCACTCTTTGCCCTGAAGAACATACTCTTTCGAGGCAGTTCCCGCAGAGGCACGTCAGGTGATTAAAATAGGAACATGCAACCCATCGCAAGCCTCAGGTGCCTGATAAAAAACCCTGCAACACGTGTTGATTCATCCACACACTTCAGCAATTTAAGTATCAACAGACCCACAACGGACATGCTCCCTAAAACCACACGCATATGGCCCACAAGCAAGTACTTTCCATCAGCCATCAGAGTTGTACGGTACGATCCCCGGTGATATCAGGAATGACAATCCCTGGTGGTATCAGGGATGTAAAGTCCCTGGTGATACTTACTACCCGTAGAAGCTCTGTGTATGTCTTACGATGGTCATATCCCAAGCCCTAGGCACAACACACCTTGTCATCCAGAGCCCTCATGAGCGACGGCAGCACCAGCTTAACACCAGGGCCCGTTTTGCTGCTCTGGCTCAGATGTTTGATGATGGCCGCAGCTGTGTCCTGTGCGGCCAGGCGCACGTTCTAAGGTGTGGGAGGGAATGTGGTGATTGTTATGCATAGTGATGAAGACTTGGCTGATATATATGGGGAAGGGAGAAACAAGGCCCCCGTGTTGGGCAAATAACTCAGAGAGACCTGTGGCTAGTGATAGGATAGAACGGGCAGCACGGCTAATGTTAGGCTGAACGACTGAACACGTACTCGAGCGTATTGTGTAAAGGCCCGCTGAGTAGCTAGCTAGGAATCCAATGGTCTTTGATCACACACGCACAGACATATACACTCTACATGTACATTCACTGCGCCTAGATAGAAACCTGACGCTTGGGTCGGTCTGCAACGGAGTAGTCGATATATCAATCTTAAGCCTCGGAGAGCCACATGCACAGCCATGCAAGACACCTGGAGTCCGCCCACTCAAACTACACGCACACACACATGCAAAGAGTCTCTTTCTCAGACACAACACCATGCAGACATTGTCCTAGTAACAAGCCAGTAGGCATTCTACCTTGAAAGTCCAACCCCCACCATAACACCCCAAGAACACACAGTGCTAGCAATCGGCTCGTCCGCAAATACCCAGAGCGCACTACACACTCCTCAACCACTTCCGACTCCCGTGGTCATTGTGAATATAGTATACCTATCGTTAGCTGTGCGTGCATACGCAGTCTAACCTGTGCGCGACCCTGCACGCTACCTACACACCTCATCGTTATCCCCGAACGCCACCAGCAGGTGTGGCAGCAGCTTAATGACGTACGGCTCAAACAAACGGCCCAGCGTCGACACCATCGTCTCAAACGCCATCAGCCCGCCCTCGCGGTGTTCCTTGCGCTTCTTGTTCTGCACCGCGTCCATGAGATCGTCCACTACCGCGTGCTTGCGCAGCGACAGAATGCCCAGGCCCTTCACCACAGCCGCCAGTCCATAGGCCGCCCCCTTGCGGTCCGAGAACTTCTTGCCCTCCAACAGCTGGTCCAGCAGCGTCTTGATCAGCTCGCCGGCGTTCTCGTCCTTGGCGTTAATCAGCGGCGGCAGGCACTTGGCCACCGCCTCCTGCACGGACTGCGAGGGTGTTTTGAGGGCCTCAAACAGCAGCGCAATGACCTTCTGCACCTTTGGATCGGTCTTGTCCAGATGCCGCGCCATGGCGCCGATGCAGATGATCGTTGCTTCGTGTACCTCGTCGTCGCTGGTGTCTGTTGTGCGTGCGAGCGTCTCCTCCATCACCGGAAGCATCTCGTTGACTGAGCTGGCACCGTGCACGTCGATCAGCTGCGACGCTGCGGCCAGCATAGCCGCGCGTACCTCAGCGTTGCGGTCTGTGAACCCGAACTGTGAGATGAACGTCATGTTCTTCTGCAGCTCGCTGTCGGAGATGTTGACGGCTGTGTGGTTGAGGGCCATGGCCAGACCCCTACGCGCCTCCCACGGATCAACAAACGGCTCAGAGATCAGATTCCTGTTGTCGTCGTACACAGGCTCGGGCATAGACAGCAACACGGGAATACGGTCCAGCAGCCCCTCTGTGATTTCGTTGGTGTAGTCGGGCAGCTCGCTCAGTGCCGCACTCAGACCCCTGACCGCGTACTCCTGGACCTCGGGCGTGGGGTTCTCCACCAGCGTGGCGATGTACCGAACTTCTTCCAGCGTGTTGATCTCCAGATCCTTGTCGTCCAGCATCTCCTCGGCGGCGGTCTTGATCGCGTCGTCGGCGTCATACTTGAGCGCGAGCACGTGCGGTTTGATTCTATTTATAGCCTGCGTCATGTCCTGCTCGTCTCTGTCGTAGTCCTCGATGGGTTGTGCGTTGAGCGCCTTCAGACACGCCAGCCGGATGGCCGCTATGGGGCTGAGCAGGCCTTGGCTCAGCAGACGCAGCACAGTGTCGTCCAGCTGGCGTGGTACCTCTGCGCCCACTAGCACGAGCGAATCCACCGCCTGTACGCGCGCGTGTGTGCGTGTGTGTGTAGGGCGTGTGAATGAAAAGTTCGGAAACAAGGGTTGTGGCTGTCTAGTGCGCATTTCCGGTATAGAGTACTTTTGCGACGTGCGGCCGTATACATGGCAGCAGGAATCAGCCTGGGTGCATGATACGGTACTTTTGGAGAGGGATGTGCGTGGGAGTGGGCTGGCACAAGAACTGTTATTGCAGAAAGGTCTGATAGATGACAATCGGTGAGAGCAAGTAGTACAGTGTGCAGGCGACAGCGTCTACCGATAATGCAGCAGCGGAGAAGAGGTGTGGGAGGTACAACTGGTTTGTGCATGTGCGTACGATGCAAAGGACAAAGCATGCAAGAGATATACAAGGTACCTATGTGCACACGTGTTACAGAACACAAAGCAAAGCTGTGGCGCTTACCTGAGCTTGTAGGTGGTCGTGCACATCCGCGACGAGAAGCAGCAGCTGTATGAGATCGCTGCGTGGGTACAACGACGACTTCATAACCGCAGGCAGATGGCGTTTAACCAGTCCGAGCGCCTGTCGCTGGACCTGTTGTGGTGTGTGTGAAGGAAAGGGTAAGCACGGATAGCTGTGGAAGTATGGGAGTGGTGCGACTTATTGTAGTGTTAGTGCTACTGACATATAAACAATCTTAAGCGATAGGCCCACGAGGATGGTTTGCGAACAGACGCGTGCGTGTGCGTATACTACCCTATGTGACTCTACAACAAACGTTGCTTCGAATGGACAACTTTGTACCGGAGCCTCACGACGTGTCAATGACCATACAAACGCATAATCACAACCAAAGTTGAGTGTGGATGTAGTCATACGAATCCATGCCCACACACGTGTGTACCAATGCACATACATTCACAGGGAAGTACGACGGCACGGGGTGCGCCAGGATGCTTCTGAGCAGCTCAAAGCAGTAGCTAAACTCCGGATTGGCTAAGCTGCGTGTTCCAGCGGTGGACATGAACAGTTTCGTCACCGCAGCGCCGACGCCTTTCTGCAGCTCTGTGTTTTCTGTACAGCGTACAGTACAAACAAAACGTGCGTCAAAACGGACCAATATCCTATGCTAGGGTATGTAGACGCGCTCGGATCATGGCTATCCACCATTGTGTGAAAGGAGAGATATATAGCAGTGTATTGCTACAGACACCTGTGGGACGCTTCGTGATACTGTAGGTTAGGTAACGAGGGTGAGTGATGCACATTGGGGGAGTGGGGCTGGCAAGTGTACTGTGTAATGGCATAAGCAAACAGACGCTGTGTGATACTTTGGCCACCCTGAAAATTCACAATAAACAAGATGAGTCAAAAAGGTACATTTAGAAGAGAGGACAATGAAATTAGGACTACTCTCTGCCAATACTGATCTTTTCTTGGACTACAACTCTCGACGATGGGACACTAACCTTCAACAGAACAGCATGGTCTGTGCAGTCAGGCGGTACACTCTTCACGACCAACATAAAACACAACACGTTAACACCACAGCATAACACACCACACAACACAACACAACACAACGCACCACAAAACACACAATACACAATACATAACACAACACAACACACCATACAACACACAACACAGCACATACTGACGTACCTTCAGCCGACAGCGTGCGGGTGTTCAGCTGCCGCAGTGTGTACTGGCACACCACCGTGGGCTGGCAGTTGGCCAAGAACTTCTTATCCAGCGACCCCATCATGGAGTACCACACCTGCTGACTCACATCCCCCACCAGCGGCGACGTCAGGAGGGGCTTCAGAATGGCCAGCATCAAGGGCGTGTTGGCCTGTTGTGGGTGCGGGTGGAGTTACAGGTTGAGGATGTCTATAGATAAACTGAGACGGAACACGAGCCTATAGATAAACTGCGATGGACCACGAGCCTATATATAAACTGCGATGGACCACGAGCCTATAGATAAACTGCAATGGACCACGAGCCTATAGATAAACTGCGAGAACAACGAGCCTATAGATTAACTGCGATGGACTACGAGCCTATAGATAAACTGCGATGGACCACGAGCTTATAGATAAACTGCGATGGACCACGAGCCTATAGATACATTGCGATGGACCACGAGCGTATAGATAAACTGCGATGGACCACGAGCCTATAGATAAACTGCGATGGACCACGAGCCTATAGATACACTGCGATGGACCACGAGCCTATAGATAAACTGCGATGGACCACGAGCCTATAGATAAACTGCGATGGACCACAAGCCTATAGATAAACTGCGATGGACCATCAGGCTACAGATAAACTGCGACGGACCACTAGCCTATAGATAAACTGCGATGGACCACCAGGCTATAGATAAACTGCGAAGGACCACCAGGCTTTAGATAGAAGGGGATCTGTAACGAGCACTGGATATGGGATTATCAGGTGATCAATCAATTTGGGGGTCCAGAGACTTACGTCCTACGACACTGCAGGCTTTTGGAGAGGGTCACTTCCGAGTTTTTTGTATACGGCTAATGAATTGTCAAGGATGCTTCTATGTGTAATACTCCAACCACACGCATAGGAGCAATCGAGCTTAAAAAGGTGCGCAAATATATATATACATCACCTGGGGCAACTAGACGACTATCCGCCTGAATCAAACATGTATAATGCTTGTTCATGAAACAAACGTGTATAGTATATAGGTATACGATATGTATACGAGAAATCAAGTTTAAAGCGGTGCACAGACACGCACACGAAAAAATACAAGCACGACCCACGTGCACATGCACATATTCATACACATGCACATCCAATATATATATATATATATATATATATATATTTATATTTATATACCAATACATATACACATATATATTATATATATATAATACCCCGTACACAATCACAATCACACTCACACTCACGCTCACACAATCCGTATATATATATATATATATATATAATACCCCGTACAGAATCACAATCACACTCACACTCACGCTCACACAATCCCGTATACAATCACACACACACACATATATATATATACATACGTATATATATATATATATATATATATACATACGTATATATATATATATATATATATATATATGTGTGTGTGTGTGTGTGTGTGCGTATATATATATGTGTGTGTGTATGTGTGTATATGTATATACATATGTGTGTATATATTAATATATATATGCACTCATACCCGGAGTTGCTTAGGATTTACTGAGCAGATCGCCAGTAGCACAGAGAACACGCGTGTGGCGTCGGTAGCAATAGCCGCCACTTCCGAGCGGATGGCGGCTTCTTTGGTGCGTTCCGCTTCGACTTGCTGTGTTATGTACAGATGGCCAGGCATGTATGAGACATAGTAACAATATCAACCGAGGGGCACTAGATCGTCTGCTGTACACGTTTAATACAGTAAGCCTGTATGCCCAGGGAGTCATTGTTGTTGTCTCACCTACAGGAGGACAACAAACCTGTTATAGTAAGCAGCACCCACCCATCCTACCCTGAGCTGTGATTAACTCACCCGTTAGGGGTTTAAGGCACATATCGGTTTCACGTGCTACACCTGTTGACCATTAGCCTATTCATTGTTATAGCAAAGTGAGCGTGGTGTTCTACGCTGCGTCGATACGCTGCGAGTGAGTCATTCTATGTTATGTACATATGGCTCTACTTGCCTCCCAGATGTAAACTCGCATGTGTGTTGTATTGTATTATACTGTACTGTGTTGTATTGTATTACACTGTACTGTGTTGTATTGTATTGTATTACACTGTACTTTGTTGCATTGTATTGTACTGTACTGTGCTGTATTGTATTGTACTGTGTTGTATTGTACTGCACTGCACTGTACTGTACTGTACTGTGTTGTATTGGATTGTACTGTGTTGTACTGTACTGTATTGTGTTGTACTGTGTTGTACTGTATTGTGTTGTATTGTACTGTATTGTATTGTACTGTACTGTGTTGTATTGTATTGTACTGTTCTGGGTTTTATTGTATTGTACTGTAATGCACTCTACTGTGTTGTATTGTACTGTACTGAGTTGTATTGTACTGTGTTGTATTGTATTGTACTGTATTGTACTGTGTTGTACTGTACTGTACTGTACTGTGTTGTATTGTACTGTACTGTGTTGTATTGTACTGTACTGTACTGTTCTGGGTTTTATTGTATTGTACTGTACTGTACTCTACTGTGTTGTATTGTACTGTACTGTACTGAGTTGTATTGCATTGTATTGTACTGTACTGTACTGTATTGTACTGTGTTGTATTGTATTGTACTGTATTGTACTGTACTGTACTGTGTTGTATTGTACTGTACTGTACTGAGTTGTATTGTATTGTATTGTATTGTATTGTATTGTATTGTACTGTACTGTGTTGTATTGTATTGTACTGTGTTGTATTGTACTGTATTGTATTGTACTGTACTGTGTTGTATTGTATTCTTACACACCTCCCTCTGATGGGCTGTCATTTTGATGGCGTTGGGGTCTTCACCTCTCTTGCGTGCCTGGTCGTCACGGATCTTCTTCTGCCAGGCTTCCTCCTCAAGATCTGCCGAGTGCATTTTAGTACCTCGTTGTGTGAGTGTACGTTTATCACCGCGTAGCAATAGCCCAGCTGTAGTTCCAGAGACTACGTACATGAACGCCAACATACTTGCCGGTATGCCAGCCTCATCAGACCCAAACATCCTGGGTCCAGGCGCAGATAGGGGGTTACTACGATCTGATACTCGGGTGATAAGTAAGACTATAAAGCGCAGGGCTGCACCCGCTAGGGAACGCATACATTCGCAAATGAAACAAGCGCGCGTACGGGCAGGATAGAACACCACTGGCAGACGCTCGCTGAGCGACCATCAGTTTGTGCGTACCTGTTTTCTTAGTGTGTGTTTGCCTGTTTTCTTAGTGTGTGCGTACCTGTTTTCTTGCCCTTCTTCGCTCGAGACGGTGCTGGGGCCTGGCTTCGTTTGATGGCTGCAAGAGTGGAGGATGGGAGGACACAGCGCAGATAGTGTTGAGCTTGTACCAGATACAATGCAAAGTGTGATCATATAATTCATACAACCGTCTACCTGCCCCCTGGAGTGCAGTTGGCGAGTGAGGTACGTAATGCACACCGCAAGCGGATATTGCGTTCTCCGGTGGGACGCTGACATGCAGCCCTGACATGCAGCCCTGACGCGAGCGTTCTCTAGCAATGGAAGCGCTGATTCCGGCTAAACATAGCTTGCACAGTGCGTGCGTCGACACGCACTTATCTGCTAATGCAAACAAAAATCCGTTCATATATTCATCATCTGTATCCCGCCCTACGCACATATCGCCCATCTTGGTCCTCGTGGCTAACATATTGCCAGCACGCGCACACAACGGATTGACCACAGCGCAAAGCCCCGACTATTCGCACGCCTTACACGCGTCGGCGCGGCATTGGCGACCTCCGCAAAGCATCAACATGCAATCGTAAACAGAGTGCACTTGTTGTTATATAGCTCCTCCGCCGGGGTGGTGCAAACATCCATCTTATCGCATTCACTGATATACAACGGCTGAGCCGAGGTCACACACAGCCCATGGCCAATAATAAACCACCCACACGTCACCATGGCGATGGCAAGAAAATCACAACCACACAACCAGAGCACTAACACACAACCAGAGCACCAACACAACACATACACTCCAAGACTTCGTTGTTGTACAGCTCTCCCTCAGGCGTGGTGTAGACATTCTTCTTGTACGCATCCACCGACAGGATCAGCGGCGAGTCGAGGCTAGCCATGGCCCATTTCAGATAAGGCAGCACCGTGGCATCACCCACATGCACCAGAAGGTCCTTGATGGCCGCAATGGCTGCCTGCTGTGTGTGCGGGTTCTGGGGAGTACGGAATACATGATGGTAGGTAAGTCCCGAGCTATCATGCGAGATGGGTGGGTGATGCGTGTGTGTGAGGCCATACGTCACCTATGTACGGTGACGCTGCGGATGATACGGCATGCCGTTCACAGCATCTTCGCTGGGCGAGTTCCGCTGAGCACCGAATGCGTTAACGGTTCGTATGCACTATCTTACTGGACTACTGTGTGTGGTGCAGGTCCATGGCCGAGCAATCGCAGACCTCTTTATGCTATCCGTGCCGTGTACATGAGCTTCGAAGTGAGCGAGTAGAGCTTGGGGCGATGCGCTTGAGTCAGAGACGTTTGGTGAGATGTGCTTGTGAGTTGGGACGATGTTCGGTTAGGCACACATCTATCCATGCAGCAACCCGCATCAAACACACCGCACACGCGGACAGTGCTTTCCTTAATTACGGCTCACGATTTCACTTTGTCTTAGAGGGCATGAGCCTATCTGAGCAGCAACTGACGAGTAGCCAACTACACCTGCGACACCGCACACAGCGCTGCAGAGAAGCACTCACATGCCACCAGCAGTACTATTAAAGGTGAAATCGGCCCTACACCCGTGTGGTGTTCACATGCAGTGGTACCTATAGAGATCGATGTGTGTAGGTATGTGTGTGTGCATACAAACAACATATACATGCCTATGCAGAGCACGTACGAGCATTTTTCTGGCGCATACCTCGCTTCCTACCCCGAGATCACCGGTTGTCAGTGCGATTACTTCCTCCAGATTGTCTCTGATGAAACTCTCAATATCCACTTGCGCGTGCCGCAGCATACGATGGTAGGCTTTCTTGGACCCTGCAGGGCAATAGACTCTGGTATCAGCTTAAACCCAGGTAAAGTGAAGAAGCGCGTGTACACATAGAAACCGGCAATTGCGCTTTTATGGATGCAGACGGTACTCATCCCGAAGTACGCACATGAAACGAAAGGCGAATGTATACATGAACGTTCTTTCGCAAGTTATACTCGAGCCCCCTCATATAGTATACATATACAGATATATGCAGATCTGGTGTGCACTTAGATCAATTGTTATCTTACCTACTCGGGGATGATTGTTGTTATCTTACCTACTCGGGGATGATTGAAAACCAAAAGTGACTTCAGGGCCATATGTTCATGGGTACTTTTCGTACCGTTGCCGCTCACGCCGCAGATTGCGGTGGCGGTTAGCATCAGGAACTCTTTGTTCTGAGTCAGTGGGATCTAAAGCCGATAAAGAAAATTTGGACAAATTTAGGAACACTCGGTGACCCTATTGTAGCTACATATACCAAATACACAAGTATACACGTCAAATATGTGCATATATGTACTTGCATATGTAAACTTGCTTCAGTTGTACATGGATATGTGTTTGAATCCAATCCACTACGAATCACCATGCAATCTCAACCAACCACACGAACCTGCCTTAGCGACCAACTGCACACATGACAAGCGCAAACACACACCTCAGGCTCCAGGAATAGCGCATCAAACACACTGAGTAAGACATCCAGCTTCTCGTCCACATCCCTATCGTCCCGCACGGCGCCGCTAACGGCCGCCACACACTGCCGGCGCACACCCACATCCTCAGACACACTCAGGCGTAGCACAGCAGCCACCCAGGGGCTTTGCGCATTGACCCATTCGCCGGGGTTGGCCGAGAGTACGCAGGTGGATAGTCGAGCAATGCTGCGTTGGAGGGGCACGTCTGCGTTGGCCAGCAGTTTGGGGCTGCACAGGACTTCCATGGTGGTGATGACGTTGCGGAGATCGCCGCCTTTCTTCAACGGCAGCGCTGTGGGGTAGAGTGGGGAGGAAGGGGGAGGGAAAGGATGAGGGTGGATGTGTTCGTAGAGATGAGGGTTGATGTGTTCATAGAAGTATTGCACTCCGGGAGTGATTGTACACACACATACAGCTCATGCTGTCGTCTTGATAGTTCTGCAAGTACCTACACACTCTCTCATACAATAAAGCCGTGCCACCAACATACATACATACATACCCACACTCGCATTGTCCCCCTGTGTCCACGCCAGCAGGTAGTACGCCGCATATGTCGCATCCGCCACCGCCGCGTGCGCAGGTTTAGCCACAGCGCTGTCAATGATGGCCAGAAGATTAGGCACCAAACTGGCGCACACGTCCTTAGTGCAGCTAGAGGTTGCAACTCCGCAGGAGAGTGTTTTGAGGGCTGCTGAGCGGCAGGTTGGCTTGGCCTTGGGTGTGAGGTAGTTGTTAGCAAAGGCGTCCAGAACCTTCTGGGGAAGTACGGAGACAAACGGCAGCCACTGCTCTACGGCAGAGAACTCGGCCAGCTGCGCGGTTTCATTGGCTATTATAAATAGAAAGATAGGCGGGATTTCATCATGAGGAACGCAATGGCCCAATAAGTATGGTCACAGGGAGAAACCAGACTTGGTGTACTTATATAAAGCATCAAAGAGAACCCTATGTATGAAATTGGTACAACCCCAATACCATCTGCGCACAGGGTGCAGAAGATCTAAATCAGCAAGAAAAAAAACCCCCCCTACGTGTTCACGAACATACACACGCAGTAGAGGAACTGCAACCCATGTCACTAACCCGAAACAGAGACTGCGATACACAACAGCAACCATCCATGCCACAAGCCCCAAGGGCTACCAACACCCCCCCCCCCAACCCCTCTCGGCCCCAAGGGAAATCACACTCCCTGGGTCGCAACCATACCTTTGTGCTCGCGTATGCACATGCACTACATAACCGGCGACAGTGCTTATAACAGCGATGCCATACACAAACCTATAGCCAAATGACTGGCATGCTACACACCTTCCTTATCCGCCGCCGCCAGCGCAGCCGTCACCACATCGGCAGCCACTTGCTGCTTCGTAGTGTCGTGCGCAGCCTTTGCCACAGCCTCCAAGGCCTGAGCCACATGCACCTTGTGTGCCCAAGCGGACACCTTGACCGGTCCTTTTCCGCTGACCATGTCCACCAGTCCACTTGTGAGCGTGGTTAGGGACGCGGGCGAGGACAGGTGCGTGCACAGCGAGGTGCAGAACTGTGCGAGCGTGTGTGCGTGTGAGTATTCGAAGATAAGCTTGACGCCAGAGTATGCGTGCGAGAACGAATTGTACCGCTACATGTCCACCAGTGCACTTGGAGTGTGGTTTCAGACGTGGGGGAAGACAGATGCGTGCACAGAGAGGTTCATAATTCTCTATGTGAGAGACATAGAGAGTGAGAGAGATGGTGAGTGTGTGTGAGAGAGAGAGTGAGTGAGAGAGAGAGAGAGAGAGAATGTGTGTGTATGTGTGTGTATGTGTATGTATGTGCGCGTTGGGGTGAGAAGCCGAGGGTGTGAGTTAATGAAGGCTTGAAGGTTGCACAGTGAACGTACGTCATGATTTGGAGCAATGAACTGAGAGTAGACTGGAGCTTATGCAGTTCGTTGTACAATATCTGTACGTCCATGAAAGCATACGCAGACGTACAATTCCAATTAAACGGAAATGTTCAGTGGCATGAGTATGGACAAGCAATCAACTTCAAACAATCGATATCTATTAAGGAAATCATTCTCTGAACAATATGCACGGACAGCACTGGGAGGATCAATAGCTCCCATGGGTAATGTAACACTTCAAATTGTGTGCATGCGGTCTAAACAGATCGTAGGCTCCGAGAGCAGATACATGCGAAGGTACACACGCATGCCCGTAGGTCTGATGATGGTATATGGGCACATCAGGCGCACAGAACTAGTACGTCAACGCTTGACTGCTACATACACAAGCACTAGCGACCCACTCGATTGAAACAACGGTCACAGAAAGGAATATAAACAACCTGCATCCCCTGCTTAACCATACCACTATCCCGCCATCAAACTCAGAATACAGTCACCCGAAGTAACCTCACAACTGGTGCATGCCAACGAAACGCCGACCACACCGTACACAAGGTTGCACAAACCTCCACGCCGTTGTCTCGGATGTTCTCCTCTTTGTGGTTGAGAGTGTTGCGCACGGCCGACATGAAGTCGTCCACAAAGTGACTGAGATCCGACTCCAGCGAGTCCATCTGTGACGCCAAAACTAACAGTGCGCACGGGATAAGGAGTGGGGTGGGTATGAGGAGATGAGGATACCAGGACGCGGAGGCTCAGAGTGTATGTAGTGCGAATTAGACCAGAGGCACGGGGTGGCAATACAAAGTGTGGATAAATATATGAGGGATTTCTGGAGTAGTTTGAGTAAAAAGGGAGTACGCGAGAAAGCGAGGTGTAAATGAGTGATTAACCGGCGGGAAGTTGGTATCACCGTATCAGACCATGAGCCAGTTCAGTAGGCACCAGAGGCAGACCCAGCCTAACGCGTAACCAATGCGAGACATAATGTGCGGACTTGGTTGCGGCCTGTAGTCAGATATGCCTCGTTTGTTGCACACCGCTGAGCCTCTAAAATCCATCTATTCAACGCACCACAGAACACTTGCTCGAGCTCACACGCCATCGCGTAGTCCGAACACAAACGGGTGAGGGACTGAGTGTACCATGACAGATGCTGACTGTAGACTCTTGTGGACAAGCTCAAGTCTTGCGACCGGGCGAGTGAATTGACTCCCACACCCGAGCGGGACATAGCGGCTTGGACACGCACGCAGATGCTTTTCACCGCACTTGTCCAATACTATACACATACACTCTACTGCCATCGTACTCTTACTTGATACAGACACTCTACTGCCAACGTACTCATACTTCATTCAGACACTCTACTGCCATCGTACTCTTACTTGATACAGACACTCTACTGCCAACGTACTCATACTTCATTCAGACACTCTACTGCCATCGTACTCTTACTTGATACAGACATTCTACTGCCAACGTACTCATACTTGATACAGACATTCTACTGCCAACGTACTCATACTTCATTCAGACACTCTACTGCCAACGTACTCATACTTCATACAGACACTCTACTGCCAACGTACTCATACTTCATACAGACACTCTACTGCCAGTGTACTCACACTACAGCCATCCTCGCAACAGCCTTCCTGGGGCACACACTGTACTTACTCACTGATCCCACCGAAGAGTTGCGCAGGAATGACTTCATGGTCGGAGGGAGTATATCCTTGACATAGCTCTCTGCTGGCATGGCACTGAGAATCGCCCGAAAGCCCATCTGAAGACATATGTATAAGGGTTGCGCATTAGCTGTGCAATCCAATCCAATCACTCGATGCAGTACAGAGCCTCTCATGAAGTACCCAGAAAGGTCTGTGGAACTGTTGCGTTGTGTGACATGTCGCTATGCCAGGCAACGCAGTACTTACTCACTAATGAAGGTGTTGAAGTGGTCGACCCATCCCCATCTCATGTTAAGTTATAAGCCCAGAAGGGTCTTGATTGTCCAAACGTATACAGCATAATACCACGCGTGAAGTGTGCTTGGTGCAATCTCATAACAACTGTGTTCGGAGACAACCTTTGCGGGTATCTTGTCTTGTAGTACGACTACACACTCGCGTGCGCAACGCCCACAGCGGTCATGGAACACACTACAGAGACGAATGACAGTCTACACTACAGTGACGAATAACTGTACAGAAGCATGCAATTCCGGCGAAAGTTGTGAGACGTGGTCATGTGTACGTCCCTATTGTTTTGGCAGCATACCCGGCTGTAGTGTGTTGCGCGTTTTGCTAATAATAAACGCCTAGAGAAACAGGTCAAGCGTGATAGTAAACACGGGTACAATACAGTGCACGCATCAAGTAGCACGCACACGTTTGTTTCGCACTTTCACCACTCAGAGATATATAGCTATACAGACTTGCAACGTTAGGACGCCCTTGGCCTCACGGTACTTGGATTAACGTGACAGATCGCGCTGTATATGATACTTTGTGATTTCGAGTACGCGCATGCGAGCTTAATATAACTTGCGCTGAATATAACATCGTTGGCATTCAACACAGCGAAGAAACTCGGCGTTGCAGACACCTCGGGTCTCCTTCTCGAGCGCGTTCACGTGTATTTGTTGTCATTTCTGATGGATCAGAATGGGCACAACCCAAACGCTCTTCAATGCCAAAGACAGTACACTCCACGCAGATATTTCAATACAAACCCCAAGAGTACTAAAGACAGTACACTCCACACAGATGTTTCAAAACAACCCCCAAGAGAAATAAAGACAGTACACTCCACACAAATGTTTCAAAACAACCCCCAAGAGAAATAAAGACAGTACACTCCACACAGATGTTTCAAAAAAAACCCCCAAGAGAACTTAGCTTCACACAAATGTTTCGAAACAACCCCCAAGAGAAATTAGCTCCACGCAAATGTTTCAAAACAACCTCCAAGAGAAATAAAGACAGTACACTCCACACAGTTGTTCCAATACAAAACTCAACGGCTCCACAAGTGAAAACGTCGAATAGCACTGAGACCTAAACAACTTACGCATTCGTGCAGGGGCGGCAACACCTTCTGCTTCACAATAGTGGTTTGATAAAGCTTTACCAAGTTGGGCTGTGGAGGTCGAGATCCGATAAAGATGGATCAGAAAAGATGATACAAAGAAATGAACAACTACCCCTAGTACAAGCCAAGCGAAACCGTACTGGCGGCGTGTGACGCGGGATGAACGCTCAACAATGGTGCGTGTGTGCGTGTGTGGTCATATATGTCAATACACTAATAACCATGCAATGAGGCATATGATCACATGCTGAAACTCTTACATGCCATGCAACCGAGACTAACAACTTGTACATATACTTCATGTATATTTACAAACCTTACTGACTATCCGAATGTGCGTGGACTATTGCAGATAACATCGTTCAAAGCATTTTAACGAACCGATTTACAAGTATATATATATATATATATATATATATATATATATATATATATATGTATGTATGTATGTATGTATATATGTATATATGTATATGTATGTATATATATATATATATATATATATATATATATATATATATGTATATATATATATAAGTATGTATGTATGTATGTATGTATGTATGTATCTGTATATATATATATATAAATATATATATATATATATATAGATAGATAGATAGATAGATATATATATATATAACCATCACATATGCCACATGCAATGTGCTTGATCCTGAAATTCAAACTACTATTGATTACTATCTCCTACGTCTACGTACTGTTAAATATGAGCGTAATACCGTCTTCTACCGCATACATATCATACACGCACGCATACACACGCACGCGCGTCCAAACTCTCCCAAACAACTACACACCATATGCTCAGCTACAATCTCCTCCATCTCATATCTATTAGCATGGTCCACAATCAGACCCGCGAGCTTTCCGGGATAGGCACTGGGGGCCACTTCCAGCACAGACAGATAGCTGTCGCACAACGCACGGCCGCCTTTGTGCAACAACGCATCAACGGTAGCACGACAGCGTTGGTTGCCACGACGGTTGTCCACTTCGTATACTGCGCTGACTAGCTTGGCCTAGTGAAGCAGGGCACGAGGGTTGCACGGGCAAGACAAGAAGTCGACAATGAATACCACTTGTTTGGGTAATACATACATACATACCAGCGATGAGTGCCAATAGCAGATAAATAAGTATCGTGCCGCTGAGCGAATAAACAAATGTGTATTTTTGTGTTGTGTATTTTGATGTCTGGATTGGAACTCTGCCCTGAGATCGTTTCGCAATAAGTACCCTATCACGCACTTGCTTATACACAAATAAACACTAGCGCGTCGCACAGCTCTCAATTGTGATGAATCATAGGTTGACGCCGTTTTTTTGCGGGTGCTTCCGCGGTGAACAACACCTTCCCGAAATATTAAAGTATATAGTCATATAGAAACAATCGCACGGGATGTGTCAGGTACGGTAGTGAGGGCGCTCGCTGCTACCCTATTCACGTGCTGTGTGGAGACGGAGATCCAAACCAATGGTTGTGTGTGTGTAACTGTGTGAATGTTGTGTGGCGTGTGTCTATACGTGTGCGCGTGTGTGTAGAAAACAACATATATGTACAACAAACTTATCAATATATATATATATGCGTGTGTGTGTGTGCGGAAAAACAATCTATATATATATATACATATATATACCATATGTATAATTATATATATATATATATGTGTGTGTGTGCGTGTGCGCGTGTGTGTGCGTGTATGAATATATACATATACATAAATGGGTCACACACCCACCTGCGCCAGAGCCAATGATTTGAGTACATCAGGGTTAGCAAGGACACACTCCACCCCAACAGCAGATATGAACGACATCGTCCAATTCAAAAGCGTGTTGATAGCCAATACGTTGTACCTGGAGATGTATTTAGATTGAAACTCTGATATAAGAAACGCTGAATTTGAGTTCGTGCATTCTTTTGCACAAAGGTAAAATGAGTGCTTAGAACGTGCACCAAATACAGAACTTCGTATCCGCGTTTGAAGATTGTCAAGATGCTATTCATTCCGAACCGTAAATTTGAACATGAAGCGATACTAAAACAGATGGAATTCACAGGCAACCTGACAAAACACCATCTAAACTACTACTAATATCAAAGGACGGAAGTTACTCTGTGAAGACAGTTTGATATCCTTCGTAAAGAATGCCGCCTCGTGCACATTGACGGTGCGCAACTCCTCTTAGAAAGGTGCGTCTGCCATCACTGATGAAGTGATTTGAAAATTATACAGCGTATATACAATGCATACCCGTGTAACTACGGGAATATGCACAATGCACATACCAAACGAGACCCATCCTTGCAGGACGGTGAAAATATATCACACGTATCTGCTGAAAGGACTAGACACGCAACTATGAGTCATCATTATAGACATGCATGCTTCGCAACCATACATGCCTTGCGCAATAACTGGAACATGATGTTGCGACGGATGACGGCCGTATTCGTTGCCAAAATTCAAATAACCCTATACGCTAACATAAACATCCACACTTGCTAAACTATATGCAACAACTAAGCTCTGTAGCCAGCCTCGCAGCCCGAAAGGAATTGTGAAACAGCAGGAGCTATTCCAAAGCGATTATACGCACCCACTACGGGGCTTAGGATCCAAAGCACAGGTAGACTTACCCTTTTCGAGCGGCCAGTTTTGTGATGACCACCGGAAACGTTTTGACGGCATTCTCGGATGAAGCTGTGCACAAACTGGCGAATTTCAACGAGCCAAAAACAATACGTTAGTGAAATAAGAATATAGTGAACGGTAAGTATTTGACGGTATTTGTGCATGTATGGCGCGGTAGTAGAGTATCCTTCAACCAAGGTATGCATCACATCCATCATTATTCTAACTACAGAGTATCGCGACAGCAACACAGCCAGACACACGCGTACTCCAACCTGCCCCTTCCAGGCACACAACCCGACCGTCAACGCCAGGGCAATAAACTACGAACTTGCCTTTCTAGGGCCTTGTTGACAAGAGTGCGAGATCTTCTATCCGCATACTGGTGTAGGGTTTTGACCAATCCCACGAGCAGGGGCTTGAAGCACTCGTCAACCTCACCTGTCAACCGCAAACCCAAGAAAGCCACATGAGTATCCAATGAATGGAAAAAGTGCGTGCGTTCCTCGCGAAACTCTCGAGCAGGTGTGGTGTCGACCACTTCCAAATTGGTTCCCTGTTGAGTGCCCGAGGGCCTAGAATCGCATTTATAGGACACTCGCTGTCCGGTCTCATGTTGTTTGCGAACAAAGCAGCGACGAGTGAGTGGTATCAATGCAAGAAGTGCTGTAATGCAATACGGCCAATGCCCGCACACATTGATCATGCCATAATGACAAACGCTGCAATAACTAGCTTACGATGTCCAAAACGACGCTTGCAATGATGCGTGATCTCCTAATTACGGCTGCATTGCCTCGCAATGCATTAGGACGGATGGTGGTGGGATGGTAATTCAACGTATGACAACAACGGAGACCACTCTTGGCGCTAAGATGATACTCCAATTTGCATACATGATGGCAGTGAGGTATATTGGGCTGAGCAATGATACCATAATGCACACAAGATTTACTGAGGTCAGGCGCTAATTAACAACCCGAGGAAAGGCATATAAAAACCACAAAGTACGTGTGTTTCATGGACAATATTATCTATTGAAAACTTGATCATTTAAAGATGTCGCCCCTCCATCAGTCATACTTTTAGCGCTCCAAAACTGCATGCACATACTTTGCTCCGCATCAGAGAGTGCTGCAATGATTTTGTGCAGCAGCGAGCAGCGAGTACTCGGTGTAGAGAAAAGGAACTCGCCCGTATAGGCCTCGATCAGTTCCGGCAGTGACATGGATTCCGCACCAACATCCTGTATGAGTTCCAAAACGACAACAAGAAATGTGAGTACTTCCCAGGTATCCCGACTCTCGAGCAGACAGAAAAATGGACAAACATTTACACCAACCAGCACAAATCTTTGAGCAAACTTACAATTCTTGAATCAAGTGATTGTCATTTGACGCAAACACGAAGACAGTGAGGATAATATAAGCTCACACTGATATGAAAAGATTGAAAGAAATCAAAACAATTGGTACTAGAAGTAGGGAAGCCTGACATGGCTTCCGATCAACTTCCCCAGCCGAATTTAACCCAAGAGTGCATATCACCGACCACACAGTTCGCAACAATCAAAACATAATCCACTTAAAATATGTATACAATAAATTGTGCGTGTAAACCTATAAATATACATAGTACAATAGTAAATATATATACATATATATAT